ATTCTTTCCAGATGCACATGTTTTGTGTTTTGTTCCACAGACTTCTTTGTGGGATACTGAGAGGATCATGCTGTTGTTGATTGAGTATATTGGTTTTGGTTATAATGCCCAGGATATCTCTGGGCTTTCCCTTCAGCTCCTGCAAGGTGGTGGGGCTGTGGCTGAGATCAAAGCACTCTGTTACCTATATACCCACTGTTGTTGTTTGGGTTTGGATTTCTGTCCACCATCCCCACCCTTTAGTGTTGATTCTACAAATCCTGAAACTACCTATTCCTATCACAGAACTTCACACTCAGCTTGTTTTGGAGCACTTTCTGTAAGAAGCTTTCTTGTGCTTATATATTGTAGGCTTGGCAATGATGAGACTTGCCTGGTTTCGTTGCTAGGCTGAGTCAGAGGTGTAAAATGTCCACTCAACAGGTCTCATCCACATATCTTGGTACTCACTGGAACAGGCTTCCAGGACTGGAAGTGGTGCTAGCCCTTAGTATTTTAAGGAACAGAAGTTGTAAATGTCATTACAACACCAGTGCATGAAAAATCTCATTAGAGAACTACCTGGGATGCTAAAAACAACAACAAAAAACCCCACAAAAACCAAGCAAACAAAAAAACCCACAAATCTCAGAGCCACTCTAAAATCAGTTCAACAAAGCTAACTTTCAGAAAATATTTATGAAACTTCAGTTCTCTGAGCTTCTTCTCCTATATATAATTTTTTTTCTGTGAGTATTACCATGCTTTCTGTCCTTGTCTTTATTTTGCTTTGGATCCTTTGTCTTCTTGTCTTATCCTGCTAGCTGCTTCTGAAGTTATCTGTGATACAAGGCATGAATTAATTCTCAATAATATTGTAGAACTGGATGCTTTATTTTCATTACTTATGTAATTGAATGTTAATGAGTGTGAATGTGGTAATAAAAATAGTTTATACATTTAATAAGAATGTATCTGTTTAGTGGGAGATATATATATATATATATATATATATATATATATATATATATATATATTGTATTCAGATGTTTAAGAATTGGCCATTAACTGATACATACTAATCTTTTGATATCTTCATTGTTGACACTTACTTGGCAAGAGAACGAGAATTCATCTGCCAAATGAAAGTCAGTAAAATTTATCTGTAATTAATAATAATGCAAGAAAAACATCCTGTAATTTCTTCAGTGTCTTGGTTTGAAAAGACAGGTGTCTGCTAAGGAAGGCAGAAGCCTCTCTTGAAATGGGAACTGTAAACCCCCTCGCTCCAAATTATTATAATTTTTAAATTAAGGGGCTCTTGGGCAAAGATATGGGAGTAAGAATAACAGTCCTTTATTAGGAAAATAAAAATGCAGTAATAGAAAACAACACTGACGGAGTCACAATACAGCCTAACACCCCTGGGTCAGGGTGTTGGTAACAGTCTGACTACATGGTGGCTGCAGTCCTCCTGCAGTGACAAGTGTGGTTCTGTTGAAGCAGTGTTCCAGAAGGGTGGAGTTCCTTTAGAAGGGTGGAGTTTTCCGCTGAAGATCCAGTGGTGGTGTAGATAGCCCTGGTCTTCCTCTGGGAATCGAGTGGTAAAGAAAGCTGCCCCTCTGGGAATCTGGTGGGAAAAGGCTGACTGAGGTGTTCCAAATATCAGACTTTATCCAGGTAGGAATGCTTGGCTCCTCCCTCTGGGCAGGAATTCTCATAATGGATGATGTAATTTTATCAGTCATGCAGTGACACTCAATGGCCATTAATAGCAGGTATCTGCCCCACCTGGTTCTAGCAGATGAGAGTAGAATACACACCCCCAGCCACATCTTGCATTGCAACCTAAGACATTCAGCTGAGCAGCTTGCCTTAGGAGACATGCAACTTTCTTGAAAGCAAAAGATGCCCTATTATGTTGTACTAAAATAGCTGTTCTCCTGTGCCATATAATTAAATCTGACATACTTGAATTCAAGGAGGAGTGATTTTCATAGAAATTCTGTAGAAACAGGAAAGAGCAGATGGCAAAAAATTTTGCATGTCCAGTTTTCACCAACAGCAATACAGTGCAAGATCTCAAGTAATTGAGACAAACTAGAAATTACATTGTCCATTTCCTTGGTTCACCTGTGGCATAGCTGATTTAGGTGGATATATTATCTCTGTAGATTGTAGATCTGACTTAAACCATAGCTGATAAGACCTCTACTTGCACCAAATATTCCTATAGCATCCAGTCAGTTTGTTTCTCCTACTCAATGAGTAAGTGTACATGTTGGCTGAGTGATCAGTATAAATAAATAACAAATAAAAATATAAGTAATAACAAAATAAAGCCTTTTACATTTTACCAATTCTAGTGTGCATACACTAGAGAAAGAAAGTCACTGAATTTCTTCTGGTCACATGCTACTTCATGCTTCATGTTCTTCAGTAAAATAAACCTAAAAATACGCATTTGGAAGATTTAAAAATAAAAAAAAAAAGGGGAGGATTGCAAATAGTTTTTTAATTCCACCTCAATAGATCACTTTTTTGTGTGGGAAAAGTAATCAAATGTGTCTTGTTTGCTAAATAACTAAGTGTTGTTGAAAAATCTCAGGACCTGCAATTCTTTTTTTTTCTGCATGTATTTAGAAATGTATCCTTCATTCCAGTGTATAGGGGTAAACTGTTCTTTGTGTTTATTTCCCAAATATATTTTCTGCTTGAGCAAAAGATGTTTTTCCCCCACACAGAGTTTTAAATTCCAGGTCTTGTTTCTGCACTGGTGTGGGCAGATCACAAAGCCTTGCTGATGCATTGTGTGGGGTAAAGGGTCTGGCCAGACAAGCAGAAACAACAAGTAAGAGCAAATAAAAAATCCTCGAAGGTATAGAGGCAGATGAAGTGTGCAGGGTGTCCTGAGGTCCCTGTTCTCCACTGACCCTCTGGTCCAGTACGTAATTTGGTGAACTACTAATATTCCCCTACCTCCATGATTGAAAACTTGGGTATAAACTTGAAAGGAATCCTGTGCCTCATCTTCACTGCAGGATAAGGTATGCATTTGGGTTTATGTATTCAACAGTGATGTGTTAGCCTGTCCTATCTTCTCAGCTGAATTATTAATTTTATGTGAAGAGCGATATCCGGTACAGTCTCTTCTGACTGAGATGGAACATGACTTGTGCATGTAGATTATACGTGCCAAAAATGATTGCTGCACACAGCATACTGGACTTGGTAACATTATGAAAACTGAGTTCCTTACAGGAATATTAGTGCTATCACACTGAACTCTGAAAATCAATATTCTGGTACATTTTTGACATCTGCTCAGAACCTTTTTGAGAAGAAAATCTATAAATAGGAAATTTGAGTCCATTTAACATCACCACCCTTGTAGTAGAAAGACAAATCCTTTTCTGCCCATGCCTCCTCAGGCATTTTCTTTTCTTTCTCCTTTGCTGTTCCCAGAAACCTCTTTGTGTGTGACTTTTCATTTTTGCTTTTACAATCTGTTCTTGCTTGTCACTTCTTGGGAGTGTTAATAGATTCAGCTCAAACTCATTCAAATCATGTTATGTGAGGACCACATGCAAAGTATTTCTTAATAAGCATTGATGCTCATGCTTATGCTTAAGTGCAGTAAATTATTTAACAGAAAACAATATGACTTTTTTTTTTAGTTTGATTAACAAGATCAAACCTGGCATTGTTAAGAAGATCAATCGTCTGCCAACTCCAATAGCTGGCTTGGTAAGTAATGGCATTGAATCTAATATCTGGTGTATGAAACAAGTGATCTTTTGTTGGAATCTGTGGTATTGATGATTCTGAGATTGTAGAAAGTCTCTGTCTCTCTGCCCCATTGCCAAAGAAGAAGTCATAATTTGTCTGTGCTGTTTTCAAGGTTGTTTATTCTTGCTTATCTCTAACATGTTCTGCTGCCCTGCCACAGCTCTGTCCTGCAGGGCAGCGTGTGGGGCTCTGCCCCTCAGTGGGATGTTACAAACATTATATACCAGAAACTACCTGTGCTGTATTTACAATAATGTGCCAATATCTATCACCTACATTGAACAGTGTGTCCCCAGCCTAAACCAATAGAAAAGTGCCAACACAACAGTGAAACATGGAGGGCATGAAGAAGGAGAAAAAGGACAAGACACACCCAATTTCCTCCATCTTGTCCCCTTTGGACCCCTAATCTAGAATCCTAAAATTCTACTTTTGCACCCATGCCACACTTAATTATTACTTATATCAAACATTCAGAGCTTGTAATGCATCCTGTAAGATTGAAAACTCTTTTCTACGGACAGAGATCACAGACAGTGTCTCTTAGGGCTCTGTACAGGGGGGTTCCTGACCTCCTGCCACGGTCCCAGGCTTTCCAGGGCAGCCAGAGGGATGCCATGGACTCCCACAATCTTTTTAACAAATTTTCAAAATTTTAGCTCCATTTTCATTTTTTTGTTGTTCAAAATTGTACCATTTCTATGTTATCTTAGGCCACAAAGGTACATGATCTGTCATTTGGATCTGTAATTTCAATCATCCTGTCACTGCATCAAGATTAATCATCCCTAGATGTATCAAGCACTGGCTGCTGTGCACAAATCTCTGTGGCATTACTTGTCTCTATAAAGGCCACCATCCTATCTTATATTAAAAGCCACTTCCGATATCCCTTTCTTAGGGAATGGGCAAAGTAGGAAATGTTCTGTGTAGTTAAAGTATTTTTAGAACCTCTTTCACTCCACCCACAGCAAAGCTTCAGATGCATTAAAATAACTCTGATGATGCAAAGATCTCTCTTCAGGCTTCAGCTGAGGGATTTGCCAATGTTTTGGCTGTAAATCACATTGCTGGGGGTAGAGGTGGGAGCTGTATGTCATAATTTTCACAGGAAATGTAAAAGATTTTCTCTATGCTGTTTGGAAAATTTGCTGCCCAGAGACTAAATTAAGTTTTGTAGCCATTTAGCTACAGAAACCCTTCTGTGGGCAAACAAGTTCAAAGAATTCTTTCTTCATCACTTTTTTCACTATGGCAACCTTGTTGGCTGTTCATGTCACTTAGGGTGTCAAGGCTATTTAGTCCTGTCACAAATGCCATTGGTCCCATATTAAAAGATCCAGGGTTAACAGGGACATATGTATGATTCCTGTAACAAATGGAAGATCACACCTTATGGCAAACATGCAACCTCAACATTAGGGAAAATTACCTGGTTTCTTACTAGTAGAATTCAAAACTTCTCTAGATACTTTTATTTACATGTTTTAATGGAATGCACCAACAAAACATTAGCTTTTGCTGGTCACCTATGTCTCTCATAAGTGTAGCTAACTTGGCTGGAGGTCATAAGAATAGGTTAAATTCCCATGAGTTATTGCACAAGCTGAGAATGTGCATTTCCACATCAAATGAATGTAGAAAGTTTTAATTGCCTTTGTCCCAGAAAAGCTCAGGTATTCAGGCTTGCGAATAAGACTGCTGCACATTCTTTTCCTGCAAGGCATACAAAAAGAATTCAAATTAAGCTAAAATTATTCTGGGGAGGACAGCACAGTTATTTGATCAGTGGTTTGATTGTCTACGTGGCCTCTGAAGTAGCCATTAGATTCAAACCAGAAAACCATAAGCTAGATTTCATTTTTGTGGTGATTTAAGTGTTGTCTTGAATCATAACTTCAGACGCTCTTGTTTTTATATGCATTTTTTATTTCCAGATGTTAAAATGCAGAGAATTCATTTGGTGTCTTATTTATATCTTACTTGTAATGCATTACTGTTTCTTTAGGCTGTTTCTAGTTCCTACAAGTATTCAAAAATAAAGAGGTGGAAAGATGAATGCTTCTTGTAAATCAGGCTCACCTAGTGTTTTTGTTAAAACACAACTTAAAGATAGTAATTGAGAGTGCTGGTGTTTTGTATTAACCTGTGGAAAAGGTTTTATATAAACACTTCAGTTTCAGAAGACAACAGTTAAGATCATATTGGGATGGTTTCAGAAGATGGTGCTTATGGTGGCAATAGTTGAAGACTGATTTTCACAGACTTGAGAGAAACCTTCTCAGTTATACCAGCTTCAAAGAGCCCAGGTTTCATCCCAGCATGTAAAACTCTAAAAAAGCCCCTAAAAATTATAGAGATTTGCATTTATTAGAAAGCAGACATTGATACCCGACAGGCTCAGGATACTGTGGTTGAATGATAAGTTTTAGAGATAGAAAAAGCTTACTTGGAAATTCAATGGTAAGCTTGCTTGACATGTTCTGGAAATATTTTCATTGCTTGTAGGTTGCTTCTCCCACAAATTTGCTTCTAGTATTTTCTGTGGCTTCATAAATGTTACATATACTTCTGTGTCTCTCACTTCTGCTGTCTTCAATGCCTTTGAGTCTCACATTAATTGATCCCCAGCAAGCTTT